GTAGCCTTCGAAGCACCGGCGCATCTTGCTCCAGCAACATATTCACCTCCGCCTAGCCCGCTCATCTTGGCCAGTGAGTTGAAGATGCTGTCCAGCAACCACTCGCATAGTCCCTGAGGCCAGGCTGCCACAAGCTCAGGCTCAGATCGTCTCTTTGTCTCCCAACGCCCATCGATCTTCACTCTCACTGAACCCTCAATCACCTGGCGCTTGCCCAGATGATGTAGACACAAGATCTCCTGCCAGGCCAGCACCGATGGATGGTTCCCTTGGAAGGCGGTTAATGGCTTCTTATGAGGTCGATGGGTCACTCTGTCTCGAAGCCCCAGCATGCACTGATCTACACACTTGGTGTATACTTCAAAGCTTCTGATTGGCGAGGCTGTTCAAGGTAGTATCTCGTCGTTGTGGGCTCGATCTCTCCTCAGCCGCTGCCAAGCACTCCATGGTCCACACTTAGGGGAGAGCGTGATCACATCAGGCTGTTGTGCTTCAATCATCTCCTTCAAGAGCTGTTGGTGATGTCCAGCCCCGTGATGATGATGTCCTGTGGTGGCAGCACCCGCCATCCTCTCTACCTTGCCATCTTGCTCAGCGTAGCTTTGCCCGCAAAGATCTCCAGGGGCACCCAACCATTGCCTGGGAGCACCGTCATGAGGTTCACCAGGGCCTCTTGGAACAAAGCATTGACTTCCTTGGCACGCTGCAGGCCTCGAAGCACAACAGTGCGTTGTCCACTGTTGAGGAAGGTCTCAACCGGGTCATTGGCCTGCATGTTGTCCCTAACCACCGGCTCATAGTTGCTCGTGCCTGAGAGGTCCGCTTGCTCGTGCCGTTGGGCCCCACCGTCAAGTAGTTGCTCGTGCCATCGGAAGCCTCAGACATATAGGTGCCCTGGTCTGCGGCGACATCCTCCGTGTCCATCGGGACCGGATCACTCACTCCGGTCCACATCCGCCAGCCACCATGTCTTCGGATTGAAGCACAGCTGTCTGGCTGCCCCCGGGCCCCAGATGTCCCCACATGGCAGCCGACTGGCGGACGTGCAGCGCCATCATCCATCTCGGATTGCGCTTCCACTTCAAAGGCCTGCCGGATTGCCCCCGTTCCTTCTCCACAGCCGGCTTCACTCGGAGCATCAGCAGCAATGTCTTCCATTTGAACACAAGCGTCTGAGATTGGAGACTCGCCATGATGTTGAAGGTCACGTCCGCCGAGAACTGGCCGGAAAGAGTTGGGAAAGGGGCCATGTCTCCCGTCAGCGCTGCCTGCCTCTGGGAAGTGCCTGACTTCTTCTTCACGGACGGCTCTCGCTGACTGCTGCCCTTGCTGCGGGTTTTGCCCCCCCACGTCTCCTCGACGGTCTCGTCGGCCCACTCCTCTGGGATCTGCGGATCTTGTCCTTGCTTGTTCAAAAGGCCTTGAGCCGCCATCGTCTGCTGCGCCAACTCCATGACCATGTTCGCCACCTGCTGTGGATCCGAGCTAGCCGGAGCGGAAGAGGAAGAAGGCATCGCCCGCCTTTAATCGCATCCTCGGCTTGCCCACCTTGCCCATGAAGCGCTTCCTGGTCTTGGGCGACACGGATCTCCCGCCCAGTCCGAAGCGATGTGAAAGGTTTCGGGCTGGGCCTGGGATTGTCTTCTTGACATCCTGGGGATCGACCTCCGGCAGCTTGTCGATGGCTTGATCCACTCTCTGCGATTCGGTCGACAAACAATGATCTCAGCATGCTCTGGCATCTCACGGCTCTCGACTGGTCGCATCGTTCGATCGAACTGCGTCAAAGGCATGATGTGGTGTCCACCCACTCCAGGAGTGAGGGTTTGTTCCAGGCCATACGGTTTCACCCGGAGTTTCTTGGAGGAAATCATGTGTTGCTCTGTATCGATCATGAACCCGAGTCGAGAGCAGACCGACTTGCTCAACAAATTGGTGGACAGTTTTCGGAGACCACCGAAATGCGCAACATGCAATGCAGTGATGCCAAAGCCACCTCCACAACGACCCCATACTGACTCTTCGAAATGTGTCCATCCCCGAAACGAAATGACTCAGATTCCTTCACCACCTCAATGAATCGTCCTTGACCTTCAAGTTCACGAACCAATGCATTGACCCAGCTTGTCCCAGCCACCGTTCTCATGCAACCCAGGTCAACAATGATTTTGCTTCCCAGTTCATCCATAGTCCAGTACAGATCATGAGGGGCAGCTTGACGGGGTGGTTGGCCAGAAGGTTGCATGAGACCGGATTCCCTGTGCACCATGTACACTCGATGCTCTGCAGCTCTTGTCGGCTTCTGTGCATAACTGGCTGACAACTCCCACTCCTCAGCGGCCACCTGTTGTGGTCCTCGCTCCTGGAATGCCAATTGGCGGAGTCTACCACATTGGAAGCATGAATTGGAGTCTTCCTCCGGAGTGGACACTCTTGAGACCAATGTCCCAACTTGCCACATACAAAAACACGGGTCAGTCTCCTGCTGTTTCTTGACCCACTGCTTCACATGCTCAGGTTGTTGGCTGCCAGCCTTGTCCTTGGTGAAGTACTGGCGCATCTTCCGAAGTTCCCGCACTTTGTTGCGTGCTTTGTACTCCTGAGCACAGATCTCGCGCAGTGGCGTTTCACCAGTCTCGGATGCACCGGAACTGGCGGCGCCGGTGCCAGAGGTGGTCTCAAGGTTCTCTTCATCCTCATGCAAGGGAGGAAAGATCTCTTCCGCCTCCGGGTGGTAGGGGTCGTCGACGTCGAAGCCCCACCCCCCTTTTGGACCAAGTACTTATTATCTTCATTGTCCAAGAGGGCCTCGCCCCGGCCAATGGGGAAGTGTGGTAGGCCTTCCAGCTGCTCAGCGAGGTCCAGAAGGGCCAAGGTGACCGGTTCTTCATGCTCCAAGCTGCCGCCAGCAGCGGCCTTAATTAAAGCCAAGTCACGTTTGGTGAGCTTCGCAGCATCCAACAGATGTCCAATATAGAACTTGGAGCCGACCGTGTAATCGGGGGGAAGACTGGTTCTCGCACGTTCACGAAGCTGCTGCATCAACCTGGGTCCTTGAACTTCCGGTGGAAGTGACTTGCCTTCCGAGGCCAACCAAAACTCCACCGTTCGCCAGTACTCCTGCCATGACTCTCCTGGACGGGCATAGAAGATCGGAGGGTAGGAAGATGACAACTTGCTGGCAAGTCCTCCCCTCCCGTTCCTCCAGTTCCTCCGCCATGTCCAGAGCCAGCGCCTGATCCCCCAGCCACTCACGGATGTCCGCTTGGGATCATGCCCGGGGGGCGGTTCACCGCATCCTTCATGCGTACCGTCGGCGCTGCTGACAACGGCGACACGCCGTGCTCTTCACCCCAAAGCCCGTCACCTCCAAAAGCTCTTGCTTCTTCACCATGTCCTTCGTCCGAATCGTCCCCATGACATTCTACAGAAGGGCGTTGGTGAAGATCCGCAGCAGGGGTAGGCCTCGTAGTCGAAAAGGCCTGTTGGGCAGCTCGTTCATCGTGTTCCACACTGTTTGAGGACTGCACTGACCAGTTGGTCCGATGTCCTGCACTCCATGACCAGGATGACCAACGATCATCATCTTCCCAATTGCCACCTCCCCAGTGTCTCTCCCCAGGCGCGGATCCCCAGTCGCTCGAACGGTCCGAAGAAGCATTCGAAGACTCGCTCTCTCCGCTCATCTCCTCCCAGGTCTCTCATCCTGTCCATCCCACCAGGTGCGGCCTCTGTCCAGTTTCGACTGGAGCTGACATGGCTGCTTGCTGATGGTCTCGCAACAGATCATCTTCATGCCCTGAGCTGGACTCTTCAGTCCTCGCAGCCGCCCAGGGATCAAAGGCCAGCAGAGGATCATCCTCTGGTGAAGATGCCGAACTGGAAGTCCCGCACGTAGCTCGCCCAGTGCCCTCGTCGAAGGTCACGACCCGCCGCCGTGAGAAGGGAGTTGGCACCTCCCTCGGCAGCGGTGCTTCCTCGCCCGCTCGGTGGACCAGGCTCAAACCTGCTCAAACCTAACTACCAACCTACAGCCCCCTATCGGGGCTCCGCTACCACTAAAAGTGGGCGACGCCACCACTTTTCCACCTGCGCCTGAGTCAGTACCAGGCTGTACGGCCGACAATAACCCTAATGATATTCCTTAATGGTCTTGACTCATGAATCGCCACCCCGCACCTCTTGCGATAGGTTGAACGATGCCACAACAGTCTCTGCCACTTCTTCCTCATACAATTTGTTCCATTCTTTGCTGTGATCTGAAATGCCCAACGCCATGATGGGTCAGTAGGTGCAGGAAACAGGAGTGAGTTGTTCACTGCTGTCAGGCTGTCAGTTATATACCACTGCATGTTTGTATGTTCCTTTGCCTTTGGCTGTTCTGTTCCTTTGCGTTTGGCTTTTGAATCTTTTGAATCCCAATTGAAAGAGCCCAGGGCACATGGCAGAGCGGTTTCCCACGTTTCCAATTCCCACGGAAGTGTGCCAACGCGCTGACACAAATGATAATATAAATCATAAAAACAGTGGAAAACATGAAGTGGTGTTGGGACAGGATAACTAAAACCATTGCCACCCAGGATAAATATCATGAATAAACCATGTTTGGTGCCCTCAGTCTGTGGCTGTGAGGGTCTCATAAGTATATCCTAATCCCTGCAACAGCAATTAGGCCTTTCTCTAAAAGAGTGATAATTGTTTACCGACTGTTACACGTCATGGGACACCCCCAACACAGAAACCCGAAGCGGTTTAAGCGCCCCTTTGCAGGATCGCTACATCGTCGAAAACGCGTAAAAAAACACATCGAAGGTGATCGTCAACCAGGGACGCGATGATGTCCGTGACCTCTTTGGTTCTCTGTTAGGGACGATCATCAGTGACCGAACGGGATCTCAAGGACGGTCACGAACTGTATGAAGGTCTAGGACCGACCTTCGAGTGATGGCCCTGTTCGCAAAACCAAAAACTGGTTCTTGTGGCGAGTCAGGCCTCACTTCTCACCGCGAAGAGGACGGTGCTCTCCCCGAGGAAGGCCTCGAAGGCCTCTCCTTGGCTGTCCGTCCCCGAGCGCTCTTCCGACCGAAGCGAACGGAAGACGACGAAAGCTGTTGTAGTACATATGGGATAGGCAAAAAAGGGCTTTGAAAAGCCTCTCTTAGGACTCTTGGGAGGTTTCAGGGGATGATTCGATGTTGATTCAATGATTTGAAGTCCTGCCTTGTCGCCACAAAAGAGTGTGGCCAAAAGATAGATTCATAAAGTAGATTGACCGTGTCTCAGTGGAGTGTTTCTTTTTGCATCTTGTTGCCATCATAGATCAAGCAGCATGCCATCCGGAGTAGACTGATGGATCATTCGATTGAGCATAGCTTCCCAAATAAGTAGGATGAGTGCAGGGAAGCTTACCCAACAAACACTAAGCACATAGTCAAATACTTGTTTTTCCAGGCCTCACTCGCAGATCTGGCTGTAGAACCACCTGAGCCCAAACCCAGAGAAGTGCCAGGTCCGCACAACGAAACAGGCGAAGAAGAAAGCACTGCTTTGATGCACTCCGAATATCTCCGAATGAAGTATAATGACTCAACAAAATGAAGATGAAATAAGTCGAGCAAAAGATGGTTTTGCTCAAGGTGATATAGTTGAAATATAACCCCAAAGGTAAGCAGCTGTTGAAGTCGTCGACCCCAAAATCTGCATGTGTGTTGCCCATGTTTGGAGTTTGATTCGTGGCACCTGCGAGTGCATGCGAATGCTTTTAAAGAAGTAGTTCTAGATAAAAAGAACTGCCTTTCCCTGCTCAGCAGATACCCATCAGTATCGCGAGCATCCCATGCTAGCACAGTTCACCCCATAGAATACGAAGAGAGGATCCAGATCATCTGGATGTGTTTCTGGATCGGATTTCTCCAGCCCAGCCCATCAGTCCCATCTTCCCGTCACATCAGTCCCGCCTAGGGAGCTTCGATGCTTCGTCGCGGGCGTGCCGGGCACGCGCGCGTGGACGCGCGGCACCACGTAGCTGTGGCCGGGCACACCCAGCAAGCCACTCACTGCCACAGGCCTCGGAATTTTGGAAAGGGCTCGGTAAGACTGAATTGGAGGCAACACAGCCATCAAACTGGACTTGATCGGCTCAAATGACCTTTTTCTTCAGCCATTCTTGAACGTCTCATAGAGGAAAGACCCACAAAGGAGACTGTTCCATAAACCTCACAAGGTCAGCGAGTGGTGCCAAAAAATGTCAGAGCCAGTGATTTCTTCTCGGCTGGTTTTCCTCTTCAGAGGCTGGGGGCCTGTGTCGTGATGGGCGTCCATGGACGTCAAGGGACAGGTGGGTGGGTCAGTCGTCTTCTGAATTTTCTGAGCCTGATTGCAAAGAAGAAATCTCTCCTGAATATGGTTCTAGATGTGATGTTCACCATATGGGTCAGTCGTCTTCTTCTCTCCTGAATATGGTTGGTTCTAGATGTGATGTTCTTGAAACTATTGCAACTCACCACCACTCGGACCCTGCGAATCGCGCGATGTTTCTGAGCCATCCACGGTTCGACTGAGGCGCGGCAGATGGCCATCTCCCTCACCTGGCTAGCAGCTGCTTATCTCGCGCTGGTGGTTTCAATTTCATAATTTCATTCAATTTCCAACAGATTCCACGATGCTCCAAACACCTGTCAGAAAGGTGTCCAAACACTAATTTGACTACCAGTGAAGGTTTCAACCTAACATATCACCGATACCTAAGGGGCCAAATGGCACGCTCTACCGGACGGGTGGAACACGTCCAGTTGTTCGCCTGTCCGTCCACCGTCCGGCCTTGTGCACGCGGTCCAGTGGCGTGTACCTCGGCCGGCCCCCGAGCCTAAGGCCCAAGAGCTTGCTGCTTGACACCGGCCTCCACAGCGGCCTGCGATCCATCCTTACGCTTTTTGGAGCCATTTCTGAGGGCCCGCACCAGTCTTGAAGACAGTCCAAGCCGTGCATCTCCAGCTTCTGAAGGAGCTTGTTGCTCTTCAGACCTTCACGTCTTCGCGGGTCTCTGCGTCTCACGAATCAGGCTTCAATCGGCCCGTGGAATTCTGCCCGTGCAAACCCTGGGTTTGAAAGGTGAGGACGTGCGAGAAATGATCATGTCTCCCTTGTCCTGGCAAGGCTTGAAGCTGCCTACAAGTGTACAGGCACCTCTATACAGGCACCTCTATAGCCATTTCTACCACATCTGCCTTCAGCCCATGCTCCCTCAGAGTCTCCGCCTTTAGAGTAGCTGGAGCTTGAAGGAAAGGCCTCAATGGAACAAGGATTCGCCGTTGAAAAACCTCTGCTTGCTGTTGATGTTCTATGTGTTCTGTTGATGTTCACTGGACAAATAGCAATTAAATCAATATGAAATGAAATTATATGAAATTATGTTCTATAAATGTGTGTCCGACACTCTCTTCAACATCCCAAAGAATATGGCAATAGCTGTTCTGAAGCCCAAACAATGCGAATAACCTCTTGTGTCGCACAGTCGCTTCGGCCTCCTGAAACTCCAGGTCCTTCGCAGGAAGCCGCCTCGGCACCCGTGCTCTCGGCAGCTTCGCACCGGTGTTTCACCAGGGGATGGGTCAAGACCATTCAAAACCTGGTAGGCCCATGTAGCGAACGACCTCCCAGGTAGGTCCTGCCTCTCCTGGTGCCATGACCCACAGCCTTTGTTCGGGTCCGGCTCGAAACGCCGGAGGGGGCATCCGTGAGCCAGTGGCATCCGTGAGCCTCCAGTCCAGGTCGAGCCAGCTGTTGGTGGTTACCCCCATGATGTCTTAAAAAGATGGGGGTCGGTCTATAGCGACACCCTCCATACTGGATCAAACTGGGGGATTGTGCCATCTATTCTCAATCCATCTCAATCCACTATATCTGTTTGATTTTGGAAACGACCCACCTGCTAGCCCCATCATGTCCCATCCATCTACCATTCGGTCCGACTCACCACTCTCCGACTCACCTCTTCAAGGCAATCCATCCGGTCCCGTGTCCAAAGTGGATCTGGTCGAGTGAAACGACTCCTCCACTGAGGTCTGGTCGAGGACTCAAGCCCCAAGCTCTTCAAAAGCTCTTTGGCCTTGAAGAGCCACTGTTCTTCGTCCATGCCTTGGCATGCGACAGCGCGACACGTCGCAACACGTGTTGCGACACGTCGCAACACGTGTTGGGTCCTGTGAGCTTGCGGCGTCGCATAGATTACACCAGCTTGTCAAGCAATAAAGGTCTTGAGAGCATGGCATGCTTAGCATGCTTGGTCTTTCCACGATTTAAGGATTTTAAAGGTGATCCTCACTGAATGAGCCTTACGAACCAACTGCTTGGTCTCCAACCACAGCAGCTCAATCACTCCAAAGGGCTTTGACATCCCAAGACAAATACAACAGGTGAAATATAGACAAGAGTGGGCTTCTGAGACCCGTTGGCCTAGTCCAGGGGCTTTTGGGTCCAAATCCCACCCAAGACATCGCTCAGTCCATCCCCACCCGAGCCTTCACTGGGCCGCGCCTGGCCGGTCGAAAGCGGTTTGCACCCCATCGTCTCCACCCGGTCGTCTCCACCCCTCGTCGCCTCTACTCTGGCTGTGTGTATACTGTTATACACCTTGGATTGAATAGGTCACTTGGGCAAGTCCTGCGAGCCATGTGGCATTCATATCGTAGGTACGTACTGTGTGAACCCCACTTCGCCCGCCCGAAAGCGCCCGAAACCGGCCGGCCTTCGGGGACGGTGCCGGGCTGGGCGCCGGAGGCACCGTCGCCGGCGCCGGCGGCTCCGTCCTTAGAACGCCAAAAAGAACACCACACAGGTGAGGATCAACGGTTCCAGGGGTTGTTTCCAGTGTATTTGGGGGCCGTTTCTGTGTGTGTTTTTTCCTTCTTTTTGAAGCATGTTGCTCCTTTCCTCTTGTTCATGTCCTATGTGTTGACCTGACAGATGTCCCGTGGTGCTATCAGTTCCTTTGGAATAGTGGGAGGGTCAGATTTATCCGATGCTTGGAATTGGGGGGGGGCCAAGGTCCCGTCTTTTCCAGGTGGATTGAGCACGTCGGAGAGCCGCCAAGATCTGTGTTTCTCGTGCATGGGATTCTCCAATGGTTGGGTGTGTTTTTCGGGCCCGAGGCCGCCTATTGACTGGTGAGGGGGCTGGAATCCCTCAAAACAACGTTGACGTGCACCGGTTCAGAAACCTCCCGGACCATCCGATCGTCAACGGACCGACCGTTGGGCGCCCCGATCCACCGACGCCCCACCGGGCGCCCCCGGCGGAATCGGGGCGACGTCCGCCTCGGGGCGTCGACCGGGGTGAATGGGAAGAATGGAGGTATGGTGGATGGATGTTCCTTCGGTGGGTGACGTTGCGTGATGTTCCGTCTTTTTTTGGAATGAAATCCATTTTTTCGATGGTATTGTCTATGATGCAATCATATATGCCATCGACTTTTTTGAAGAGGGCCCTTCCTTCGACTTCAATTTCGCACCTCTTCGCTGGGATCAAAGCTTGCTTTGCTTAATGCCCCCCAATTATGTGCATCCTCGCCCCATTCCGCCTTTTTGGAGAAGGTCTCTTTGGCACCAAAAGCAACACCAAATGGGTTCACCAGACTGGATCCGACCTGCCTGCCTGGGAACCAAGTCCCAACCAGAAACAGTTCTGGTTGTTCCAATATATCGCAACTAAGATCCTTTACATAAGAAATGGCTGAGACCGGGGAAACATCCATTTCTTTCTGGTTGGGACTGAGTTTCCAGGTTGGAATGGACCCTCCGAACCCTCCCCAGTCCGCCTGAAACAGTCCCTAAGAAATAAGCGTCGCCACGCAGTCGCCAACAGGGTGTGCGATCGAAGCCTGCCACCCGGTAGAGCCACGGGCATCCCTTTTCTTTTTTCCAATCACAGCGTTGGTCCTCCGGGCTTCCGGATTGGATGGGTTTTTAGAACCTCGGTGAGGCCAGGCGCTGATGGGAGGAGTTGCTTCAAGACACATCCGGTTTCTTTTTCTGGAAGGAAGATGGCCTTAAAACTAAGGATTGCCATCATCCTAGAGGCACTGGGAACTGAATGCACTTAAATTGTTCCCAGTTGATGGAACGAGTATGACATAGTTCAAGTGTGTATAGAGGCTTGCTGCCGACAAGCTGGGACAAGAGGCTGCCTCTCACGGCTGCCTCCCTGTTACTGTTCCTGCCATAACTGACCCCATTCCCAAGATTCCTCCCACAGTTCCGCTCTGGAACTGGCAAACGCTGCGCCCAGACCAAGGCCGGAAATCGCCCGAACACGAAAAACATGCGAACACCGTGGATTTCGTCCACTTCCATGCTTTCCAGCAATCGGGACCCTGAATGTACACCAGCAGACATGGGGTCCATCACTTGTTCACTATGCCTCTCTTATTCTGCAAGCAGCTCTTCATCCCACTGCGTATCTGGTGCCGTACTGGGTGGCGCCGGGGTTGCCTTGGAGGCTCAAGTGGTTCAAGTGGCTCGGGTCATCGAAATCTTCAACATGAAGCCTCAAAAAGCTTGACTAATGATAAAGTGTCGAGTCAGTTCCATAGTCTTGACATACACAAATGCCCTCAGACCATCGACCGTCTGACACCCATGTGACCACACCACCGGGAATAGCAAACTTCACTAGATTTATATAGTTGTTGTGGATCCATGTTTTTTGGGCGGAAACCATGGAAAATTATAGAAAATAGAATTGTCTTTTTGTGTCTTCTATTCTATGTTAAACACACATGAACTCACAAAATCTCAGCAAGTGAGGAAGAGATGTTTTCTTTTGCTCGAGAAGTTGGCTGGTTTGTGACATTCTCGTCACACGAAGTGGTGGTGAGATCCATCATGGCCACCCAACCTTCACCCAGATGTCATTCCAAACAAAGGCATTGGGAGGTTCCCAATGGCGCAAAATTTGGTGACCTGAGGGTAGTTGGTCTGGCACAGCTAATTCACAAATATACGGTTTTTCAAGGCTTTTCTGCAGTGAAGACTCGGTTAAGACCACGTAGTGTGGCTACAAGTCCAAACAGTTTTCTTTCAGCTGCCTGAAAATCAACCTAGGATCATACGGCATCTAATTTCACTCACCAGCACGGCCATTTTTCTCCTTATTCAATTTGGATCATTTCAAGCGCTGACAGAGTCGTGGTTACAAGAGACACACATCGCTGCATCAGAGATGTGGACATGAATTCAGGCCCGTTCAGGCACGACGAAGGCCTCTGTCAGACATGTCACTGTCACTTTACTAAAACTCCAGGACACCCTTCAGTTGGCCTGAACATCTACATAGCATATCGACTTCCATCATCAAATTTATATTTCACTCGCCAGCGCAGCCAGTGTGGCGGCTCTTCTTTGCTTTTTCCACTTTGATCTTTGGTTGGGCCTGCTTCACGAGGCAAGGAACTAATCGAAAAGCCCGATCCAGAACCTCTGGCACACTTCCAGCACTTCGGAGCAACATGGCCAAAGAAAGCGCAAATACCTGCTGAACAAGGTTCTGAGGTTGGCTACCCTTCCGCCGCCGCACCTCCTCCAACCTGTGATCAGCAAACTTCAAGCTGGGTAATGCAATGACCACCTCGTCGGCTTGCTTGTGAGCAGCATACGACGAAGCTGGAGGGCCGCTTCCACGAGAGCCTCTTGGCCTCCCTTTTTCCGCGGCTGCTGCTCCATGGGTTCAAGTAAGCAAGCTACAACATGTTACGAGCATAATATGGTGGCACCTCCAAACATGGCATATTTTAGACAAGGCATAGAGTGCATCGGTGCATTCGGTGCTTCTGGTGTAGAATTTACAGAGCGAGAGCAAAGGATAGATGAAGGAACCAACATGTTGAGGAGCCACAACTGCAGATCAGAGCAAGTTTGAAAAACTCTCTACAAGCATTGAATTCAATGATGTCCAGCTAATTTCCAGATCATCGCCAAATAATTGGTTTGTCAACATGACAAAACCATCTGTATCGTATTTTTGTTTTGTGTAATCCACCTAGGTGTGCCCAAGGGGATTTGAACCCTTTTTTTGCCTGAATTAATTTATGCACAAAATGTGGCCTTACAAGCAAGGTTGGATGATTTGCACCCCCTATGACATCCTACTATCCTACGAGTCCATGGAAAACCAGGAGTGAAAGAAGCAGGATCCCAAATTCTCGCAGGCACCAGCCTTTCGGGCTTGAGGGCCATTCCCACGCGAGCTACATCAGACCTCCAAGCGGCGGTCTGTGGCTGCGGCATGCTGGCCTGGCGATGCAAGGCATGAGTCCCTATGGACCTTGAAAACATGAGTCCTCCGGCATCTCTCCAGATCAACATCATCTTCATGTTGCAAATGTCATGTGAATCCCTCGTGTCAATTGTACCATGATGAGAACCACCACTATCCTCCAAAGAAACTGATAGAGTCTTCATCAGCAAATCTGGCAGCGTCGATGTTTGTTTACCAGCCCCCCGCTGCCTGCGCTGGCGGGCTAGATGCAGCTGCCTGCGCAGGTGCAACACTGCACCATCGGTGTTGGAACTTGGAACGATAAACTTTCAGAACGAGATAATTTCTTTGACAAGGGGGGTGGCGTGGTGCCCAAAGAATACGCCGAACAGAACCTGAATTCTGAATCATGTGACAGCAAAGAAGAACCAAAGGAACAATCCAGTTTGGGAGGACACAAAGGTGTTCTCCCAGAGAAGGAACTCCTGCTCCCTTTTCATTCAACCTGGGCTCAGATGCCCTGCTCCCCGGCATCAAAAGTCTGCGATGGCAAAGACTCCCCGCACATCCACACCTGAACAAAAAAGAACATGCTCTGACGAGCAACTTTCCCCAAGATGATTGTGTGGTGTACCAGTACCAAAAAAGACATCCAAAACCTCTATGATCTTCTTGCGAAAGAGCCATGTTCCTGTCAACCTTATCCCTTATGAAACTTCCCCTCGGCTCCGCAGTGCGCGGTGCCAAATCCCCAGCCTCTCCGAGGGGCCGCTTGGCCGCCAGAAGAGGATGGTTCGCCTACAAAGCTCACAGAGGGGGTGTGAGACAAACGAATGACACGACCGGAAATGAAGGCAGCAGAGATAGAGGCAGGACTGCTGCAAATGAATCCCAGAATTTGATGGTAATTAGTGGGGAAAGGTGTGGGTGTTCAACGGGTGGTTTCCCAGCGGTTTTGCCGCGGCTCCCTTCGGCTCGCCTTGGCAGCCTTTTCCACGTGCGCGGCTTCCTGTCTCGAGGCTTGGCAAACAAGAGTACATGAATTGTTGCAGGAATAAAAGGCTTGCAATTTGCCATTACACGTATGACCGTACATGCCAGGATTATGACGCCAGGCTGCGTAGGGGCAATTCCAAGCAAATCCAAGAGGGGCTTCTCCCTCGATGCACCAATCGTCTTGGAGTTGGTGCGCGATCTTTGCATGGAGGGATCCCTGTACCTTCTTTGTTTCTACCACGGCGTTGCTTCGACTTCAGATCCTTCAATCCCAAACCTGATGCCGACCAGGCCTGTTTGATGGCGCAGGGCGTGCAGAAAGACACATAGAGACAGTCACCACAAATGCCTGCCAGCTAATAGTCGCGGTGATGCCAACATATGGAGCAGTCACTTCGGTGGCGAAGCGACTATAGCAATGTTCACAGTGCTCCTGCAACTCGCACAATGAGACATCCGCATCCAACGGAAACTTAAATTGGAGCCGAGGTATTCTTGCATATTCTTTCCATGACATGCTGCAAAGCCATCGCATGATTCGAATCTCACCCACCAGTTGCCGACCAGTCCAGGAGGCAGTGGAGACACAAAGAGGGGTATCGGTCTCCTTGGTGCCAGAAAAGAAGATGAAGAGGACCTCAAGAAGCATCCTTTTGGACCGCCCATTGGTGACAGAACAGAGACCCATCTGGAAATCCTGCCAACGGATCAAACAGGGACCCCCTGGCGCGGACCGGCTCTTTCTCCCTGCCTTTGGCCGTGGCCTGATCCTTCATGTCGAAACCTCCCAGCTTTGCGGATGGATGTTTCACCGGCTTCACCAGCTTCAAAAGCATCGATTTGGTCGTCCAAATATCCAAACCGATGCTACTAACCACTACTCATCGCAAATGAGCAAATAATACTCTCTCTGGCGGGTTCGTCTTGCCAACCAGGAACCTTCTCGCACTCTGAGGCTACCCCCGCCTTTTCGCAGCATTTGCCGCCCGTAGGTGAGGAGAGCAACGTTGACGAGCACGAACACCGGCAGCCAGAAATTGGACCTCAGCTCCCAGCTCAAGGCAAC